GAAACAGGATGTTAACATTCTCATAAATGGTAGAAGGGTGTATGTTTTGGAACGTGAATACCAGTTAGAAAATATCTAATAGCAGAGGTAATTAAATGTACGAGGAAGCCGCACAGGATATCATAGAGGGACTGAAAAAAAGTATAAAGCAATCGCTCAAGTAGAGATGGACACAATAAACTCAATGAGCCTACGTAGGCTGAGCATTGAGAAAACTGTAATACCTGCTCTCTCCAGTACCTCAGTGTTTGTGATCTTGTCCTGCCGCTTAATGCCAAGTATTTTTTGTAGGCACCGCATGTGAAAGCGTCTCTCCTGGTGCGAATAAGTTTACATAGTTTCACTGCCATAAATCAGAATACTGAGAACACATGCCTGATAGACCAGAGTTTTTGTTCTAATCGCAAGCTTTCTGTCTAAATTCACAGCATGCATAAGCAAATGCAGACAGTAAACATTGCAGCTCCTCCTCTGAGTGGGTGGTTATTGCTGCATTAACTGCAAACAGCAACTCAATGATAGGTTCCTGTCTTGTTCTTCTTTTGGCCTCCAGCCTACAAGCATTGTAAAGGCTGCTACCAGATCGAGAATGGATGAATACACCACCCCCCCCCCCACCCCCACCGGTTGATCTCTATAGGCATGTTTCAAATAGAAGTGAGAAGTATATTTCAAAGAGGGTAGGAGCAAGTTTACCTCTCCGTGTTGGTTTTTAAAATGTTGGTATACATTTATTTGTATGTCCTTGTTGATTCCATTGTAAATACATTCTAACTATATTGGGCGCATCTGTTCTTAACGTGTATCTTATTCAACGCCAATATCTTTTCTCCACCTCTTTATCCAGTTTAACGTAATGCTCTAGTAAACGATTGACTTAAGGTGTCACAAAGGAGAAAGATATCGAACGTCTCAAGATGTAGAAAGGACAGTGAACGACCACGAAGCGTAAGTTGACAAGTTTGGAAATGTACAGTCAGACCAAAAGACATCGATTGACTTAGGGTGTTCCAAGGCAGAAGAACACCGGGCAAATTAAGGTATACCAGTGTGTGTGTATAACTTAACCAAAAAGTGTCACTGGAACACTTTACATGAGTGGCTAAAGAGATTTCCGGTCAGTAAATAAAGTTGTCCAAAAACTGAGAAACTGAAAATTTTTACAAGTTAGTCAAAGCTCTAACAATGTTTGGTAGTGACCGCTTTGCAAAATTGTCCGTTAGTACCAACATTTACGTGCTTTTCTACGTGGAAATATTGAAAAGATGTCTGTTGGATAACAACAATTGTTAGATTAGTAAGAGATCTGTCAGACACACTCAGTTGTATAGCGTGGAAAAAAGAAACAGAGAATTAGTTTGGCTGACTGGTCTTTGAAAATCGTCCATATGTTTGTAAAAAGTGACCCACCAGTTGGAGTTTTACAAGTTGCTCTGTGTACTGCTGTTGAAAAGATAGATGTCAGTGAACATAATTGACCGAAAAGTTTAGAAAAGATGGACGTATTTACAACTTAGGGAAAGATCTGACACGTTCGCTAGTGACCGCTTTTATACAAAGATGTCCCTTAGTACCAATGTTGACATGTTTCTCTGTGTACACAAATTGAATAAATGTATGTTGGAAAAGAAAATTATTTAGTTAGAGAACTTTTTACTTATCTTTAACAAATCGTCGTTTGTTTACAAAATGTACTATGTGATCATGCTGACAAGCTAGATGTCAGTTAAAAAAATGTAGAAAAGGTGGAAAGACAACTTATGGTAAAATCTGCCACGTTCGCTAATGACCACTTTAAAAAAAAAAAATGTCAGTCCATGTTGCTTTATGTACAAATGTTAAAAAGAGATTTTTTTAGATCAGAAAATGTTTTAGTTAGTAAATCTTTACCAGGACACTCAGCTAGACAGCGAGAAAAAAAAAAAAGGGACGCTTTTAAAATTAGCTGTGCAGACTGATCTTTGGAAATCTTTGTTTGTAAACGTTTACACACAGGATGAAAGTTTACAAGATTTCGCATGTGATCATGTTGAAAAGCTAGTTGTCAGTTAACAAAGTTAACAAACTGAAATTTTATATACACGTTTGGAAAATATCTAACACATGTTCACTACTGATCGCTTCCCCTCCCCCTGCCCCCCCCTCCCCCAAAAAAAGTGGCTGTCCATATCAAAGTTGCCACGTTGATCTATGTGTAAATGTTTAAAAAGTTGTCTGTTGAATAAGAACATTATTAGGTTAGGGAAATGTTTACCTGAGACACTTAGCTAGACAGCGAGAAAAAAAAAAAGCGGTTATAATATTTGTTGGGCAGACTGATCTTTAAAAATCGTCATTTTTGTGTCATAGTTGACTAACTGTATGACAGTTTACAAGCTGGGTTTATGATCATGTTGAAAAGCTAGTTTTCAGTTAACAAAGTTGACCAAACATTTGACAAAAGCTGAAATTCTTTTACAAGTTTGCAAAAATGTTTTACCTGATTGTTAACGACTTGTTTGGGAAAACAATTAAAGTACAGAAAAACAAGTATCCGTTAGTACTACAGTTGACGTGTTACTCTATGTGCAAATGTTGAAAAAATGACTGTTGGATAAGAAAATTATTACATTAGTGAAAAAACTTACTACAAGCAGTCATAAACCTTTCTCTCTTGGTGCATTACGACAAAGTCATTTACGCTACAACCATTCAGGAAAACTGTTGATGGGACAACATAGTTTGAGGGACGGTTAGCTGTTTAGATGGGCAGACAGAGATTTGAAACGACGCAAAGATGTGCGCCTGTTGAAAAGTTTGCAAGACTTGTAAACGTGCAGAAAGACTAGGCAGACGACCAGGGGAAACAGTCGGTCGGACAGAAAAGTTGAAGAGATGGATGGTTACTTGGTAAGAGGGGCAGACAAAGTTTTTAAATCTACCCTTTCAATATGTAAAATATCTCGAAGTCCCTTATGATACAGCGAGGTCTTTCTGACTAGTTGAGTACAAATTATCAAGATGAGGCTTTTGAAGAACAAATACTGTCACATTATCAGAAAAAATGTTGGTATATAATTAGCTTGTGGGTTAAGAAAAACAGTGAACGTCGAGAACAGGCAATAATCGATCTGGTTAACGAAAGACATGTTGGCAAAATAGTTACCCAGTCTTAAAAGAATTGTAAATTTCTGGTTAAAACTTAGTGACATAGCAATAAATTCCCCGGATGGACAAAAACGTCTAAAATCTAATGTAGAATTTAAAAAATCTTGGCTGGGATAAAAGTAATCTGACGTTGTCGAACTTCGGTGACCAGGAATCCTTCAAGGTTGATTAGAACAATTGTCACATGACGACGAGCCTAGGAAATATTACAATAGGACCTCTTTTACCGGGGTTAGAGATTAAGAATTAATATTCCCAGTGGGGACACAGAGATGCCGAAAGTGCCTTTGTTACATTTTAGGACAGTGGAAATCATACTAAAGGTATCTACCAGATAGCGATGGCCACTAGTGGCCGTTGCGGTCGAAAGCCGTTATTTTTTTAGTCCGCAGGAGATTTCACACGCCACACAGGTTGTGGACAAGCTCACCTACTGTGCGATAACAGCGGGCACAAACAACCTAGCAACACGAAAACATCAACTATTAACAGATCCTACGCCATGGTAGCCTACCCATATATCAAACCACCCTTATATCACAACCTAGCTACCACTAAAAATAACCCATCATCAAAAAACATACAGCCTCCTCTACAACCTACATGAATCCCTTGACTTAGACAAGTTCAAGAGAGGCGCACCCAACCATTCCGCGCTACCTATACCACACCATGCTACCCGCTGAATCATCCCGCGCTACCCACATTACGGAGCCCTATCCGCTGAACCACCCCATGGCGCCAACAACGCACAGCGCTACCCGCTGAAACACTCCACGGCACCCACACCATCCTCTGCTTTAACACCAACCGTGGAACCCACACCAATATGGGGCACCAACAACATCATGTGGCACCCACAAAATCCTGCGGCACCCGCAACATCCCGCGGCATGTAATATCAAAGACACCACACTCGCTTCCTTTGCCATAATTATCCCAGTCGTACCCCCCTCTCGACGTCTCATAAATCTCCTCAGCAGACACACCACCACGAAACAGCTTCTTGTTTTTTATTTTAAAAAAATATTTAAAATTCAGCATCATATGTTCAAACTATTTTCTATTTTAAAAAAAAAAGACCATTTATGACAGCACCAGTCAGCACCACGCAGCACCAGTCAGCACCACGCAGCACCAGTCAGCACCACGCAGCACCAGTAAAGGTGGTGGCCGCGTTCGACCCTAAAGCTCTACTACTTATTGTTTGAGTATCCAAAAGCCATCAGTTGTTAACCCTTAGGCTCGGTATTATGGATATCGCAACCTTTCGGCCTTGATTCCATTGTAAATACCGTAAATCTTGGAGAAAATGTGGTTTTTCTGCCTACCCCCGGGAGTGACCACAAGGAGTTCGTCACCCGCTCACCGTGCAATCCGGTTTAGCCAGCTACGCTAAAGAGACGGGCCTCTACTACTTATAACCCGTATGTGTCTTGCATCATATATCTTTATTTTTTTTTTTTTTTAGTAAAACATTGTACTGAGTGTTACACCAGTCACCCCCTTCCGGAATGCAATTTTTCATTGTTTTGAAGCCCCAGCCTGGCTCTTGCCAGGGGCCGCAATATAGCTCGGCCATAAATATGGTCTAATTGCTGAACGCGGTTTTGGGGACCTCTCCACGGGTGATACCCATTCATCTAGTGGCACTTTGTGTTATCAGGTGTTTATCGCTTGTGCAATGTCCTAGTGGGGTAAAATGTACTACTACTATTGTACTGGCCCTGTTGTAACCTAAGAAAAGTCTTTCGCCTTGGGTGAGCCTGCCATATTGTTCGGAGATAGAGGAATCATAGAGAAGCTCTATGAGAAGGCTGCCATCTTGAAGGAGCCACATTTGGGGAGGCTGC